GGGGGGGGGGGGGGCATGCGGCGGTTCCGTCCCAATGCAGCAGTTACTTTCAGTCAAGAGAGAAAGCATGATAGAGTCGGGCAGATCGAAAGAACGAGAGAGATACGTGCAGCAACTGCTGTGATGACGCCGTATGTTGTGTATGTGTCTTCGTCGATGATGTATGCATATGTGTGGTTGCACCTGTCCAAGTACACGCTTTGAAGGGAGGGTTGGCCACGCTGCTCTGTGTGGTTCGCCCCGAAACATTCACAAAGAGAGGTAGCTGCTACCATGAACAAACTGTTGCTGTTGGCTGTGCGTTGTGGTCTGTTACAGCAGTAGCAGCCATGCAGTAGAGCAGCCTGTGCCTGGCGGCNACATGCGTGCGGCGTGAACGCAGCAGCTCCTGCTGTACCGCTACTAGAAACATGTACAGACCTACACACACAGCGACAGTTACACACCGCTCTGAGAGATACAATAGTGTGCACCAATCAGCAGCGGTAGCTGTGAATGTGTGTTCGATGAAGGTCATGTGTACACCGGCGTGATTGTCTCCTCTGCTCTGCTTTCTATGAGTAGCCGTGGAACGCGTTCAACGCTACGTGTGGGTCATGACAGTCTCTCTTGTATGGTGGGTCACAGCAGCACCAGTCTGTTGGATGCTGGATCACACCAGTACGCGTTGCATACTGGGTTAAACCACCCGCGTAGTTTGCCTGGTCCATCGCACGCGTAATTTGCTTTATGATGCAAGGCACACGTGGGGTAGCCCCCCCTCCCAGACATCCCGCCCCCCCCGCGTGGTTCGCTTGGTTGACACGCTTGGTTTCCTTGGCCCACCGTACGCGTACTTTACTTGGTCCAACACACGTGCCGCGAACCAATCACCTTGGACCACTGCAGCTGCGTATGGGCGGGAGCGGTGCCTATTGACCGAACCAGATCACCCGACTCTCTCGCCGACCCGGCCATGTATTCCCCAGCACGCCCGTTTCTTTGTTTGTGAAATAGGTACTCTGCGTGGATGCTGGCCACTTGAAGGGCGACTGGAACGGTATGATGCTGGTCGCGACGGGCACGGACGCCGACACCAAGCTGGTGCACGTTGCGACCAGCATCTGCGACAAGGAGAACACCGACAACTACTCGTGGTTCTACTTGATGATGAAGAACAACGTCGACATGGCGGAGGTACTCAACAGCCCGAAGACCACCCTCTTCACGGACAAGCACAAGTCGCACGAACCTGCCATCACCCTTCACGCGCCCAACACTGTGTGGAGGTGGTGCCTTCGTCATCACATCAAAGCACTTCCCGAGGCCCCTGGACAGGTGAGAGGAGTTGTGACCCTGTGCCTCTGTTGGTGTAGGCACTTCGCACACAAGTGTAAAAGTGTATTCACCTGTACAACATACGACTCACACCCTTCTCTTTGTATTCGAAAGATGGAAGTACACACAAAGTGCAGGTTCCTCTGTCCTGTCTCTCGTCACAACCGAAGAGCCTGTCTGTCTTTGTCCCCCTGAATTCTTGCAACACCAAAAGCCCACCCACGACCGACGTTTTGTGAAGTTCGCCTCGTATGTACTGCTCGGGCGGGTGTGCACGTTTATCTCCTGTGCATTTCAGCTGCAGTACATTGCTCGCCCCTTGCGGCTGCCTCTCGCCCGGGAAAGGACTACAACCTACCAACCCGACGTGCCTTTTTGTGTGTTTTCACCATGTATTAATTGCATCGACCGCACCAACCGGCTGACAAGATAGACGTCAGTCACAGAGCGTGTGTGTTCGTGCCGTTCCTCTCTCCCGGTAGCAAACAGCCTTAGGATGGGTTACACCCTCAAGTCTCTCCCCCTCATGACCACTTCGCAACCTTTATATCCATAACTGTATGTACGGCAGCAGCAGCAAAGTTAAGAGTTGATGAAACGATGCCTCTCTGTTTCGTGGGGCTGGGCGGTCGTCGAAAATGATTTCCAAAATACGGTGCTATCTCATACTGAGCATGGAGAGCAATTGCGATGGCACGGGGGAAATCCATAAATCTTGGGCACGAGTTTTGGAGGGTTTGGTTGACATTCGCGTGCAGATTCCTCTGCTTAAAACCGGTGGGTGCGTGTGTTGTCAGACGAAAACCTTGGGTTGAAAAGGGGTACGAATGTGTACCACAACTTTTCATTGAGATGTGCCGAAGTCACGTGTAGCTGCTGTGCCAAGCATGCAACAGTGCACTTTGTAGTTGGAGTCTTGTAGTTGTATCCAATCTAAGCTTGTGTATCCTATTTGTGTTGAATGTGTAAGTGTTTTGACCTGATGTTGGGCATTACTTTGTGTTGGTTTCCACTCTTCCCAAAGTTGCAACACCCATACCGTATATTTCCTGCGACGATCTAGCGGGCCCGTAGCTTTTCGCTCAAAACAGAATGCGTGTCCTGACATCCTGTTCTTCTCCCGACTTTTCATGTGCTCTCGTTTGCCTCGGTAGACTGTGACCCACTGGCTCTACCACGCAGCCAGGGCGCCAACCCGCACCAAGTTCATGGACACCAAGGTCAAGCCAACGAAGCCGAAAGCCTACGCCGCTCTATTGGACCCGAACAAACCCCACGAACTTGTCAAGTGGACGCACCACGCTGGACCCACCGACACAGCCATCGGGGGTGTCGTGTCGTCCAACGCGGCCGAGCAAAACATGGCTATGGTAGGCCTGCAGGTAAGGGTTGATTGTTCGTAAGGGTTGGACGGGTGTCCTAACAGCTGTCTTGGCGTTTGTTCGACCGACGTTCCAAGTGACGGTTGTCGAAATTTGTCCTCGGCGAACGCAGTTAGAGACAACTTGATTCTTTCTACTCTTGGCGAGTCGAGTGTGCTTTAGTTTGGCCTCATTACCCCATCGTGTTGAGTGGTATTTTCAATTGGTGGCGAGCACGCGGACCGAATCTTCGACAGCGTGGTTATTTCAAGAGTGACGTTGAGAAATGGTGAGGGCGAGTGATGTTGAGGAATGGTGAGGGCGAGTGGCGTTGACGGGGCGGCGGACACGGTACTAATTCTCCCTTAGGTCGACGGCGTGCCGACCTTTGTAGGTTATGGTAGGTCGACCTCCAGAAGACGCAGGGTGCGGCGGCGTTTCGCCCTTCGTGTCAAAATGTCTTCACACATTAGTACTGCTCTCATTCACCATAAGNACGGCGTGCCGACCTTTGTAGGTTATGGTAGGTCGACCTTCTCAAGACGCAGGGTGCGGCGGCTTTCGCCCTTCGTGTCAAAATGTCTTCACACATTAGTACTGCTCTCATTCACCATAAGAAGTGCGCACGTCTTGTACAGGCCACCAAGCAAGCACGACAGGGAAGACGTCGTGCTTGAGTACGTCAAGAATCGGGAATAATGTCAGCAGTCAAAACGAGTCAAGATATCTGCTCTCGTCACCAAGGTCCCAACAGCAGTGTCGCCGTTACTTCATTCACAGGGGAGGAAGTTGCCGCCCTACAACATGGCCCAACACATCCTGGGCAAGACCGCCTCCCAGATGGCAGAGAGGGCTGAACTTGTCAACAGCGCCTCGCAGAGGTTTACCCCTTTCGCTACTAAGGAGTTCGAGGCTCAGCGCGCGAAGTCCGGCAAGTAAGTGGTACAGACCATTGCCTGCGCCTGGCGAGGAGACGTCTTGTGCTTCCGTTCTCCACGAGGCATTTGACTAAGCGTTTCGGGACAAAGTCAGTCTGCATCTGGACGTTTTGAGTGGCTTCATTGATATGTGTCCCGTAAAAGGCGGCGAGATGACACGTGCAATCGTTGTTTGACACATTTTTTTCGCTTTTTTGGCACCCCGGCGCCATCTCTTCGCCCCCGGTGCGTAAATTCCACAAAGGGCCTTCCACAAATCCATGATATCGCTGAGGTTTTTTGAGGCACCCCGGTGCGATGTCAAAGGCCGGTGCTATCTCCAGTAACATACCCATGAGGCCCTGTTGCGCACACACGCCAGCAGCAGTAGTTTCGGGTTGTATGCGTATGTTGTGTGCTTGGGTGAGTATCCGGTTTGCAACTTCTTCAATAGCGAAAACAAATCCGTCAAGTTTTTCAGCTTTGCTGACACGGTCCCCACATGTTTCACATGTAAGTTACCACATGTACTTGTGCCTCTTTCCGGCAGCTCGAAAAGACGTCAATCCTGGGTTTGGAGTTCGGAGATTTCTCCGACGCCGGTGCAAAAATCTAATGAAATCATGANGTTGCGCACACACGCCAGCAGCAGTAGTTTCGGGTTGTATGCGTATGTTGCGTGCTTGGGTGAGTATCCGGTTGGCAACTTCTTCAAAAGCGAAAACAAATCCGTCAAGTTCTTCAGCTTCGCTGACACGGTCCCCACATGTTCCACATGTAAGTTACCACATGCACTTGTGCCTCTTTCCGGAAGCTCGAAAAGACGTCAATCCTGGGTTTGGAGTTCGGAGATTTCTCCGACGCCGGTGCAAAAATCTAATGAAATCATGACGTTCTTGTTTCTTCACCTTCGTTTGGTTGTTGGCATTGTTTGTTGTGGGTACCGGGTTGTAGCCTCTCTGACCATTGCCATCTCTCCGCCGATTTATGTTTTGTTGACGCTGGGGTTCACGTGTCTGCGTTCTACGGCAACTATACAACAACCTATTTTCGTCCTTTGCTGTCCATCCCACGACTCGCGCCCGTCTTCGTATCACAGCCTGCACTCCAGCGCCACCGGGAACGGCAACTTCACTGTTCGCAAACTAGGCAGCAACTACGGTAACCGAGTGGGGCTGGAGTTCGGGACAGATGGCGTGGTGACTCGCATGACCTGCACGTGCGGCTACTAGACTCGATTCAAGATCCCGTGCTGCGATATCATCGCCGTCGGGCGAGGTGAGCAGTGACAGTTCCGGCATTCGTATCAGTGTGGCGCAGCCCGGTCTGACCGGCGAAAAGAGGTGCAGTGTTGCTGAGTCAAGTGTTGCCACAGCCCGCAGGGGCCCGCCGTCCCGCTCATCCCGCCGTGAAAGTTGGTAGACGCGTTGGAGCTTATTTTCCAGGAAGCACGAACGGGTGATAGACGCTGTCCTGGAACACTAGGATTGCGTTCAGTCAATGCTTTTCGTCGGGACTGCGTTGGCGGACAACTTGAAAGAAAGAAATATCCTGCCATGTCGATGCCTCGCATGACACTCATGTATGTGCCTTTTCCTCCACCGCCCGGCCCTGCCCTTATTTTTGTCAATGACGCAGCGTTGGACAAGTCCGACGAGATCATGTCAAGCATCGACCCGGCCTACCACCTCGACACCTACCGAGCCCTGTACGCGGACAGCCGGTTCGAGGTGCAGCTGCCGGTGCCTGATGAGCTGGCGGTTGACGTGGACATTCTTCCTCCGGCCTGGGTGCCCAACCAGGCTGGTCGCCCCAAGAAAAAGGGGCCCTCGAGGACGAAGAGGATCCCATCCAGGGGAGAGCACGCTTCGTCGTCCTCCTACAACGTCCGCCTGATGCCCGCCCTGTCTGAGGGCGCGCCTGCATCGTCGCAGGGAGCGCCCGTATCGTCGCAGGGAGCGCCCGCATTGTCGCAGGGAGCGCCCACCTTGTCTCAGGGAGCTCCCGCCCTGTCGCAGGGCGGCGTGCAGTCTGGTGTTATCTCCGTTGACTAGATGGGTAACAAGTACCTCGCGTTTCGTGACCTCGGAGTTTGCTGTTTTCGACCACCATTGTCCGTTGTGCTGTCGCTCTTGCTGTGTCTTCTTGAAGTTCCTCGGTAACGTTTCCTCGTGTTGTGATTTTACGGAGGGATGAGCCGGTGAAGTGGCTGAGCAGCGGCGGTACTGGCCTGGCATGGCATGGCCTGGCCCGCCTTGTTTGGGTAGAGAAATTCCGGGCATGAATCTCACGCGAGTTGTCGCAGGATGGTGTCGGGCTGTTGATTTTTGACTGTTGGGTGTGCGGACCGGCCTCCCTTCACACAAGCACGGCGGTCAGTTCGATGTAGTGCCAACATAATGGGGGCACGATTTTGCGTCTCTGACGGTTTTGGGCAGCTTTGACAGGAAAGAAGCTATTGTCTCGACTAGGAGCGCTGTGCGTTTTTTTGTCTCGTGTTTCGTGTGTCATTTCGGAACTCGTCGTTCTGTTCCGGGGTCGTTTATCGTTTTCACCTTTTCATTCTGTTTTTGGTCCATCCGTCTTGTTTATTTCGTGCCATTTTCGCCTCTTCAGTCGGTCCACGTTAGATATCTGCTGACAGTTGGATCATCAGATGGCACCAGAAAGAAAGCTTTTATCGCCAATACGAGGGACGGTACGTGTTGATCCTGTGTTTCACCTCCGGACTCTACCTCATGCTCCGCGCTTGTTTTGGTCATCCGTCTTGTCTTTCCTCTTTTCCGCACCCTGTTGCGTCGACTTCGTGTGTCAGTTGGACTTTCCACTATTTTTCTGCCCTCAACCAAGGCACAACGTACAAGTAAGGCTGCTCAACATAAAAATCCACAAACTTTTGATACTTCGCAGCAGCCGCATCACCTACCCTTGTGAATCCCTTTACGCTTCTTTTCATGATGTATTTCCCCAAGACAGCCCCTTCGTTTGTGGACGCACGGTGTGCTTTTAACCACACACAGGTCAGGGTAACACCGCCAGCCACAAAAAACTGTTGCATGCAAATCGGGGTTGGTTCCTCTACCCTCCTAGAAGAAGTAAGTGCGGGAACACAAGTGTTGATTTCTAGGTAGCGCCACGCAGTTTGATCTTAGCAGCACACGACACGACGCACTTACGACCAGCTTTGTTAGTGGGTACTTCTCTGCTACCACCTTCAGTATGTCTTTCAGGGGTTGACAGTGACGGCAACATTGCATTTTTGGACTTTTTGTCACAGGGTCATCCGCGCGCATAGCGGCAGACACAACAAGCGAGGGGTATTCTTGCAACTTGATCGCACAAACCGTTCATGCTGCGTGTACCACCACTCTTTATCTTTCCCCATCTCCTGTGGCAAGCCCGCAGTTCCTTATCTCTCCCGGGTACTCACGAGAGGTCGAAGTCAAGGTCGCTGTTTAAGCTGAGGTCCCACGGCATCCACTGCTTGCTGCTCCTGCATAACTGTACGATCCTCTTCCTACACAATGTGTCATGGACTATATCTCGGGTCTTGATCGAGACATAACCACGGCATCCACTGCTTACTGCTCCTGCATTGCTGTGTACGAACGACCCTCTGCGTACACAACAACATGCCATACATCTCCGGTCTTGATGTGTCTAGTCTATACATGTTATCCAGACGAAAGCGACACCCTGATCCTTCTGTGCCTGATGTTTCCATGGACATATCTGAGCATATATATATATATATATACATGTGTGCAGCTCAAGTGATCACATGAGGTATTGAGAGGTATCCATCCACCGCCGCCCGCCTGGCCCTCTCTCTCCTCCCTCTCCGATACGAAACGAGAACCGAGAGACTTCCGCCGTCGGCTGTGGGTTGCAGGAGGAGGCTTGCAGGAGAGNTGAGGTATTGAGAGGTATCCATCCACCGCCGCCCGCCTGGCCCTCTCTCTCCTCCCTCTCCGATACGAAACGAGAACCGAGAGACTTCCGCCGTCGGCTGTGGGTTGCAGGAGGAGGCTTGCAGGAGAGACATCTAGGCCTGTCCTCCATCGGCCGTTTTGCTTGTATGACGGAGAATAA